CCTTGCTACCTAGAGTGCTACAGTGCAAGATAAGAATAAAGGAGGGAGAACTAGAGCTTATTTAACTTAATCAATGCAGTCTTGACAAAAGAAAGAAATATAAAGTGAAACAGTGGGGCATGATAGGAACAGAGAAGAAAAGAAGATGGAGACTTTTACCCCCTTCATCCTTCCTTTCCAACCTGGTGACTGCGGTAACCCCAGCTATGGGCAAAAAAAGGGTGTGCCCCTTTGAGGAAGAAGGGTATCCTTCACTAAACAAGCAATTGAGGCTGGAGGATTTATTCAACCCTGTAAAACTACAGAATAGATATGTCTGTCTCAAGATAGATGCCGACGGGGATGACGGAGGTCTGCCCATTAATCCAAACTACCTTAAATACCGCACAAGCAAGGCCAAGAAGCAAATGCTTTGCCCCAGCTGGAGTCCAGGTTCAAAACTGCATGTAATATGGAGTGGGATGTGTTAGGACATCAAAGTATTCCTCTATTTTTGCTGTTATGGGTTTTCTACCATTCTATTGGTTGTTGAGGTTCATTCAAGTGGTCCTTCTGGATATCGTTGGATCTTGAAGGAGACTGCACAACCATATCTCTGACTGCCATCAGCTTGACCTTACGCCATCATACTTAACTGGCTATGAGACCCTTCCCATAGGTAAACCTTGCACCCTATATGATCTGCTTGCTTCTACAAAATGGCCTTTGCTGCCATACTTATTTTAAGCTCAATGCTCATATTTGAAAATCTGGGATGAGGCCAATATTTTAATGTCGTTTGCATCCTACCGGTCCACTCCAGCGGAAACATCACTGTTCTCTGCTACAAGATGCCTTCCGCTAGTACAAGAGGCTCCTGTGATGTTGGAGGAAGTTCTGTTATCAGTAGAATGCTCTTTATGCTGACAGAAAGCTTCTGCACCAGCAGAACACACTGGGAGTACCCAGACTTCACAGGAGTTTGAGGAGGGTTCTTAGGACTCAAACCTCACAGGGTTGTTAGGAGGGGCCATCGCTCAGTGGTAGACCATCTGCTTGGCATCTCCATGGGAGACGGAAGAGGACAGTCAAGGGCTTTGGGGGATCTGCCTATTCGTGATAGGCAGGAGTCATTTCCTGCAGGAGCGCACAGGAGCGGAGCTCCAGCAGTAAGGAGCCCAGGGGGCGGGCACATGCAACAAGCCCCACCCCCTGCTCCCAGCAGCCCTCAGTCAGAGCAAGAAGCAGCCAGGTAAGTTGCAGAGCCCCCCCCACTGGCCCCCTGGTCCAAAACAGTCCAGCGGCACCTTTAAGACCAAGTTTTATTTGGGTACAAACCCCCCCCTCTGCGAGGGCAGATCTGCATGTGTCCCCCCCCCCCGATAGCTAGCAATCCAAAACAGTCCAGTGGAGCCTGAGCGGTGGGTGCTGCCTTCTGATACACTTCCGGTGATGTCAGGGGGTGTGGCATATGCAAAAAGGTTATGCTAATGAGCTATGCTAATGAGCTTCTGCACCTCTTTTTCTACGAAATGACACCTGGTGATAGGCATTTAACTTTTAGTGGAAAGTGCTGTAAAGTCACAGCCGATTTATGGCAACCCCGTGGGGTTTTCAAGTCAAGAGAAGCCTGCCTCTGGACTTTTTTGGTGGTCTCCCATCCAAGTACAAACCAGGACCAACCCTACTTAGCTTCCAAGATCTGAGACGCTCAGGCTAGCCTGGGTCATCTAGGGCTGTGGTCTCACACACACACCCCACAGATTCTAATCTGGGAGGACCGGGTCTGATACCCATTCCTCCACATGCAGCTGCTGGTGTGACCTTGGGTCAATCACAAGTTCTTTCAGAGCTGATCTCGCAAGGGCAGTTCTCGAAAGAGCTCTCTCAGCCCCACCTACCTCACAGGGTGTCTGTTGTGTGTGGGGGAGTATAAGCTGCTCTGAGACTCCTTCGGGTCGTGAAGGGTGGGGAATAAATCCAATCTCTTCTTCCTCTTCTTCTAAATATTCCACTTTCACTGCACCTTCCCATCTGGATCTTACTGTGTGAAATGGCAAAATCCAGTTGGAAAGTGCATTGAAAGTGGATGGAAAGTGGATTATTTAGTGTGTGTGATCGCAGCCTATGTCATGGCAGACATTGAGTGGCCAGCAAATTCTAGTGGAGCTTGCTAAGTATGTTCTGCAGGGGTGTTTTTTTTAAAGGAGGCCATCACATTATCAAACGCCCCTCATTTCCCATCAGTGTGCCATAGAAAGTTCTACTCGTGCAATGAAAATTAAAACAGTGGTTTGATCAGATCTTCCTCTTTCTGCACGCAAGAACTCTTTCCTGCGTGGGTACGGACCTTTAATGTCAAAAAGCAGATCTGAGATTGATATCTGGAAGCTGATGCTTAGAACTTCCTTCTAAGGACTCAGTTAACAGATTTTTAAACCTGCCTGCTTTTGAAGAAATATTGGACTGTAAGGCTGCAGTTGTACATTGAGTGGTATTTATTTCTTAGTGGGCTTACTTAGAATTGCCCTCTAAGGCTCAGTCTAAGGGAACTTTGAATAAAATGGGATTTACTTCTGAGAATAACTGCTTAGGGTTGCTTCTAAAGTCTGCCTTTCTCCATACAACATCTCTAATACCGATAGTCACACAGATTATTTCTTCTGGAGCTCCTCCTTAAATCTCATAACCTTAGCCTGTTGAAACAGGGTTAGCTTCTCTCTTGGGATATTTCCCTCATAGGTCCCTAACCTACTCCTTCCCTAAGGTAACACCTGATACCTGCTCTTTTTCTGCCTCTTTATCGACCCCAGAGTATTATGTATTAGGGGTGTGCATTCGGTATAAACCAAACCGAATAAATACCCAAAACATCAGAGATCTGTATTTCGCTACAGATATAGCTGAGCCACCCAAAAGCCACTTTGTTGGCTTTTATTTGGGTGCATTCTGCTATATTGATAAGGCATTTAAAGTGATTGCAGTCCCTTTAAATGCCTTCTCTGAACCGTGATGGCAGCAGCAGTAGCACAGCTCAGTGAATAAAATCAGAAGGCATTTAGTGTAATCATGGTCCCTTTAAATGCCCTTTCCAAACCTCATGCCTCCTACTGAGTTCATTTGACAAGTTGCGCCACCACTACTGCTGCCACTGCTGCGCAACTTCAAAAGGGCATTTAAAGAGACTGAGATCTTTGAGTTCACTTGTTGAGCCACGCTGCCACTGGCTTGGAGAAGACATTTAAAGAGGCTGTGATCTCTTTAAATGCCTTTTTTCCTCAATTGAAATGAAGTATGGGGGCACCCCATGACCCAATCTTTTTAAAACTTGGGGTGGGAGTTGAGGAAAGGCACCAGCAGCTATGCTGCAAATTTGGTGCCTCTACCTCAAACAACAGCCTCCCCAGAGCCCCAAATACCACCGGATCGATTCTCCATTATATGTTAAGGAACAGTCCCCACAGCTGAATAAATTCAGGTTTCTCAAATATTTACCTGAATCTGAATACCATACTAATATTGGTATTCAGGAACAAAAGGGAGGGCCAATATTTTTCGAGTCCAATAGACCCAAATCTGGGGGGGGGGGATTTCCCCCCATACACACCAATGTTCCCTCTAAGCTGTGAAATTTTGTGAGCAAAAATCCTACTTTGTGAGCTACTGGTATGAAAGTTGTGAGCGAGCAATTTGGCCACTGTAGTGTGCTCTGGAGCCATCCCTTCCTGAGCGAAGACAAAAATGCGTGAGCTGGGGGCTAAAAAACTGTGAGCTAGCTCACACTAACTCAGCTTAGAGGGAACAACGATACACACCCCTACTACATACCTGTAGATATCTGAGTTC